TTAAAAACTGCAGCCTAGTGGTTGTCTATTATAGAGCGTTTTCAGTCATGTGGCCAGCACGCATGCAAATGTATTGAAACAAAGGAAAAAGTTTACATAAGAAGAGAGTTCAACTCCCACAGGATTGGTTTGGTACACCAACTTAACATGGCCGCCGTTTCATTGTTTTGGAACACGAACATGGCTGCCGTGATGTCAGGTGAAAACGCTCTGTACCGAAGTAGCCCATCTGATAGCCTCGTCTTGGCTAATACTCAGAAAAGGTGTTGAGTGCAGAGCTTCGATTCGACAAGAGTTAATGAGCCAAAGTTCGTGTAGGCTGTGTTAAGATGGTAGTGAACCCGATTCTAGTGTTAAAGTAATATCCCTGTTCACGTTTGACGTTTCTCATTGGCATCACAGTATAAGCTAGCATCTATGCAAGACAATTTGTGACAATTTTGTTGTTTTTGAGCCCGAAATTGCCTGGCATCCACGTTGAATTATGCAAATGAGAAAAACTAACCGTGAAAAGGGTTGTTGTCAAATGCCATTTACACTCACTGACAGAGAACTATGGGCTATTAACAGACAATCTATAATATGAAATGCCAAATCATGCAAGGGGCGGACAATTTGTACCTTGTACATCAGCACCATTGAATATTAATTCAGGGAGTGGGGGGATTTTATTTTCTGGACCCCTTGGAAAGAAAAAACACCTGTGGAACCCTCCCTTACAGTCAATTGAATAATTTTCACGGCCTCTCAGGTTTGGTTATTATATCGTGGTTATCACATAATGCTATAGGGACGATAACTCATTTACTTTTGCTAACCGGCTCTCGTTTGCCAGGCAATGACTCGCTAACCTTATCACATTTAACGAGCCCTCCTCAAAACGTGAATGCTGTGGATTATACTTTCTTGTAGCGATATAGGGTATCTCTTCGTCAAATAATGCCTGAAGAAAACAAAAATGCTGACCGAACTAAAGGTTACTCGCTTTTTTGAGCTATAATAAATACAAATTATTTAAAATAAATGATTTAAGCCAGGTATTGACAAAAATGGGTCAAACTTTATGCAACACTAGTTGGCGTAAGTGGTGAAAAAGAGTCTGTTAAGGCGATTAATATGCCATAAGTTTGAAGATGATTTCAAGTCCGTACTGCGCAGTACCAGCACCCCAATGTTTATGAGTCTCACGTGATGGAATGCGAATACTACGAACCGCTTACCCTTTCTTTGAGGCATTTTGAATTATTTTCCAACAGTTTCTTTGATTTTTTTTCAGCTACGAAGTTGTTTCGGCGAGTGACATCAGAAAGAACGAAGCAGAAAGAACGAAGCAGAAAGCTTTATATTCATAATGGCGGCCAACATGAAACTTTGAATGTACTCCATGTAAGTTGTGTGCGAAATTTTACACTTTGTGCTGTCTTACCTGATTCAAAACAAAAACGTAAATATAGAAACTTTAGAGAGTGTGCAGTACGGACTGAAAATCATCTTTTATATGATATGATGTATCATATTTAATTTTAAACCCATTTAGGCGGAATACTACGAAAAATCGTTCACTTGAAATAAAGGACTTGTTTCTATTTGCACATTAAGTACTCTAAACCGCGGAGACCTTGTTCTAAAATAGAGTAAACAAATATTAAAGGCTCTAAGACGATATAACATTGGTGACTAGAGAAATAATAGATTCACAACAACATTGTACTTTTCCCTTTAACTCATGAGGTTTCAGACCCTTCTACTAAAGCTGCCTTTCTTTGATATCAGTCAAATGTAAAAAAAAAAGTATGCACTGAATGCTAATGATCCAAACCCGGTATACATGTTCTATTCTTCATTTAGCGTATCATGTTTAAGGAATCTGGAACCAAACTTGTATTTTTTTAAAATTTAAATTAAAGAAATGCATTCTAAAAATAATGCTTTTGCTCTGTTATGAGGAATTTTCAGTTCCGTAAGTTTAGTGACGCAAGAAAGAGAGACGACAGATGTCGACTAAATTATCAATTATTAAAGATAGCAAAATTTAGTGCCGAGAAAATTTTCGTTGTGAAGTCACGAAACAGTAATTTCCTTTATTTACTGTCCGCGAAGTTCACATTACATGATTACACTAAATTCCTTCTGTTCAATAAGAAACGTTTTTCTCACTGCATTGGTTACCGGCTAAAAGACGAGGCTGTGAGGTTACGAAGACTTGCGATGATAGGGAACAAGTTTTGCACTGTTTTATAACCAAATAAAAAATACATATTTTTAATCTTCCGCCCCACTATCGCAAATCTCCATAACAAGCCAGCCCCACACGTCAAACAATTTATCAGCGTGCCTCCTTTGTAATCTCCACATATAAAACTAATTAAATGATGGAAAGGCTGAGAAAATAACTGTCTCAAAAATTCTTCAGGAAAGTATATCATCGAGGGCAACCTTAGGAAACGTTTTATCGCGAAATTTGTTTCATCATATTTCAATTTATTTAAACAAGATATTTAAGAGGTCTTGAAAAAGCTTGCATTATATGTAACATCTGCATTATGTATAACCATTGTCGGGAAGCTGACCTTGACGAAAAAGATGGAAAAGTTGTGAGACACTCTGAACAATTGTGTGTGCATTGATACCGTGGATTATAAACATTCTGGCCAATGTAGTCTGTTTTTGTTTTTCTCTTTGTGCCAAGAGCATTTTGGAGAGAATGAAGGTTAATTGTTAATACCTTTTAAAGGCTTCCTGTCTGTCTAGCTAGCTTTCAAGTAAAATAAAAGTGAAAATGGTTTTTATATGTCATTAGAAACTCAAAATATTTGCTTTTCGTGCTAATCTTGACCTTCTAGTTTGAGACTTGAGGAAGTACGCATGTAGTGGATGAGCCAGCCTCCTCATAAATTCTTTATGAGACTGATATTATTCATGGCCCTTTTATATAAAAAATGTGGGGTTTTTAAACATGAGGTAGTGCCTTTCATACGCATGCAGTGAACCATGGTAACCCATGAATTGTAATGGAACATGGTAGTAAATCTTTTAACAAGCGACGCACGTAAGCAAAGGTTGTTTTTGCCCTGTTCCAGGGTCTTTCGGTTACAACAAGAAACATTGAAACAAAAACAGTCGGATTCTCATGCAGCTTCTTCCTTTGACCCATAGACTTTAATACGTTTTGTTGCTCTTGGAGACAACGTTGACGAGACGATGCAAAACATATTTGAACTTTAAATTAAATTCACAACGCCTTTGTTCTCTCGATCAACGAATGACTTTGTAATAATTTTTGTACATTTGGTGATTGAAGCGCTCATTAGTAAACAGTGAAATAGACGAAATACGTAATTGCGGTACACAATTACGAAGCCCGGCCCACAAAGATATCATATTTTAAGAATATGACAGTTCTGCGCGATATGAAGGAGCTATATAATCAAACAGCTTGAGATCCGCCAGTAGAATTCAACAGCTTCACGGCAGCTGAAGCATCGAGTGTCAACCAGCGTGTTTACAGATGCCAGATCTCTGTGTTGACACTGGACTCACTTTAAACAAAAATTTCCATATCAAGGAGAACAGAACATAATGAGAGATATGTAGTTGGTTCGGCTGAGCCGGTGGTTTTACCACCACGCCATTAATGGGAATGTCAGTGCAAAAGAAGTTCCTGTTAGGTTTTGTTTCTTTTATTTTGTTTGTTTTCATCATTGGGTTCATCAGCGGTTTTTTTGGGTGCCCGCGTGTTGAAGACAAAAGCTGTTGTGGCGCGAAAAACGCAGACGATGATGACACATCCGGGAGATTGTTAGAGCAACAAGCTTTAGAGCTCGTTTTGGGACAAAAGATCCGCCATTATTTAAGGTGAGTATCCTTTTGTATACACACGGTAAGTAGAAACATGGCATTGAGTGTCGCTTTATTCGCGTCATGTTTTAGCTAGTTTTAGCACCACGAACAACAGCGATCTTTACCTTACCAATAATCTGTCAGTAGCGATTTAATAAAAGTGAAGCTCTAATATTAAACGTTCAAGTTTCTATGTTGAAGATGTTAACATCCCATATCCCTCAGATTAGCAAGATTATATAGTTTACTTTCTCGTCCCTGTTAAAATTGCCTGAAGCGAGTTCATTTTAATTATCATTTTCCTTCGATGACAAGCTGGATGTTAAGAATGACTTTCAGATGCGATGCTAATGAGCATTTTTAAACTATAGCCTCTCGGCTTGGCGATTTTCGCACCCAAAAGGAAGAACAAAACTTGACTATCGTGCTGGTTCAGATATCTTTATCAATGAATAATTTTTCATTTGTTTACATCGGGATTAAGCACACTGGCGACACCACGGAACATTTTCAAGACACACTATTGAATTGCAGATGTCATATTTCTTGACACAGTTAAAGATATTCGGTTTGAACAGTTATTGCTTAGTGGCCTAAAGAAAATAAAAGGAAAAGTTAGAAGAAGTATTAATTTTAAGGAAAATCGGCAATTGAGCTTAAGTCTTTGCGGTAAATTTGAATGACTTTTATCGTATAAGATCAAACTAAATGCAAACATTGGTGTTGCTAATTTCGTTTTTCATTTGCGGTGGTCGGGCAAATTATTGACAGACATTTTAACAATTATTTCTTACTTTCGTTTCTGTGTCACCGCTGACTTCAATATGTGCCCAGTTAATAGCATTTTTGAGGATAATATTATAACAGAAATGCTGAAATTTCAGCAACTAATTCTGAAGCGAGTAAGCGCTTAAATTGTGTAAAAATCCCATCTTCAACGAATATGTTTTCGTTTTTCGGAAAGAATCAGGTTGATAAACAATGCACTCGAACACATATTTTTTGTGTATCTGTATTTTTAAGCAAGTTAAAGGTGTTATGCCCGTATAACAGATCATCAAAAGTCTAAGAGGTATCCGATGATAGTTTTTAACACAGTGACGACGTTGGTTCATAACAGATTGGACCTCTTCAGGGATTTTTTCCTCTTGTTGTTGGCGTCCGTCTGTCTCGGGGGACAATAGAACTCTACGCCATGATTCAGTTTATGGTTGAGTTGTGGCGCCTGCTGTGGCCGTACAGGCCAAGTCTGGATCGGCAGGCTCTCTTGCAGCCGAAAATGAAGGACATTAATTATAATAGAAACTCAATGAGGAGAGCTATGTTTTGTCGGTCATTAAGAACGCAGACACTAAGGCCTGATGTACGACAACCAGGAAAGCCGAGGCTATAATTAGAATATGAAAAAGTTACAGCAAGATCAGGCACCTCCATCTATGCGGGCAACGCAATCATGGAGACATCCAATTTCAATTTACTTCACAAAACGTATTGAGACAAAAATAAAATTTTCCGGTGCCATAATTTAGAAACTGACATTTTTTGTGACAAGGAAGTTTGGTAGAGGAATTACTAAGAAAGGTAATTTTACAGGAATAGGACATGATACCGTTATAAAAATTTCCAATTCAATGAGCATGCTGCAAAAACTGCGAGGAAGCGACGCTTAACAACAGGATACTTTCAACTACAGCGACCAGTTATCTTTGGGTATCTAAGTCGACTACAGTAGTTCAAATTGACAAAAGACAATTTCTGGTCTCATCAATTACTTTTAAAAGAAGTTAAAACCTTGTCAGGTTGAAAAAATTAAAAGACATATGCTTTCGCCCATCAGTCTATTGCCTTTAACGAATGTTGTCTTTTACAATGGAATTCTACAGCTCCATCGCAAAATTTGGACCATCCAGAGCAACAAGATCACTCAAGAAAACAAAGTCCTCAATCCAAAAAGAGAGCCAGGCGTACAGGAAGTAGCGAATTTTTTATCTTGCGCTGGCTCGCATGTAAACATGTTTAAAACATGCTTTTGTGAGTCCAAACTGACAAATTTCGTTAAAGATAAATGTTACTTTGTCTTAAACTAACTCGAAGGAGCCATCTTCAGGCTGACGAAATTCTGCTTACTGCGCGTGGCTTCCTTTAATTTCTCTCTAAATGGCTTCAGCTAAGCTTCGTGAAATACGTATATAATTCTACATATTCGTGTCAATAATTCCTATATGTACATATGCTGATTACAACATACTAGCTTTCGGGTGGTTTACCGTGAAATGTCCTAGGAGTCATTTGAATATTGTTGGTATACACATGAGCCTTTCGAGAAAATACAATTGACAAGTGGGACATTCCATGGTATATACCACGAGAGAACGTTGTATAACTATTTCATACCATGCCATAGAAAATGCAGTGGCTAAGACAAGCAATGCGACACACGCGCGGCGCATGATGGGAAGGCTGGGTGTAACACCGTCGAATATGCAACAGCTTTCCTGTATTCTGATTGGCTGTATTTTCGATGGCATGGTATGAAATATTATACTGTGTGTTTAAAGAGTTCAGTATTTGAGCTAATGTGTGACTCTTGTTAGGTATTTTGCAAATCAAACAAGTGAGGCAAACGACACTTGTTCGCAAGCGCTGTACATCAAGAAGGAGTGGAATTCTCTCGGGCTTGAAACTGTACAGTTAAAGCGTTATGAAGTTCTACTCCCCCATCCCAAGAGGCCTAGCGTACTGACATTGACTGATAACAAAGGAGCAGCGGTTTATTCATCAATTTTAAAGTCCTTAACAGGAACAGATGATGCCTTAAAGACCACCGTTCCTTTTAGCGCCCAGTCTGCGTCTGGCGTGGCAACGGGTAAACTGATATATATCAATTATGGAAGGGACAGTGATTTCAAGTACTTAGATGCTAGTAACGTATCATGTAGAGGAAAGATTGTAATAGCAAGATACGGAAGAATCTTTGAAGAAAATAAGGTACAGGCTGAATTTTCCTGTTTTATTTGTCAACCCTACTCTGTTCAGTTTTAACAGAAATACCAGGGAGGGTTCAAACTTCACTTTTCAAATATCATTCCTAAAAAAAAATGTTCAAAATTGAATTATTTTATCAGTTTTAATTTTAAGCAACCCTATTTACACCTGCGGCAACATAAAGGAGATTTAGGCAACTGTCATCATCTACAATCTGCAGATTCTGCAAAATTTCGTCGTATATAATAACATAGTATTTTAACAGATCAGAAATCTCAATCTCGGATCGTCCAAAAGAGATCTGGGAACTAGATTAACAGGTCAGGCCTTCATGTCAAAGTAACGAGAAAGTCCAGGTTTTTTGGTTTTTTTTTTGTACAAAAGCAAAACATTTCAGTTTATCATTTTCTCCTTATCAAACAGGTTGTGAATGCTCAAAAATGGAATGCTAAAGGACTCTTGCTGTACGTCGATCCCGCTGACTATGCTAGTCAAGACACAATTAGGAACTTATCGGAAATCATTGAATGGTACCCCAGTAATGAAGTACACAGTGGAGGCTTATGGGTAAACAGAGGAGACCCGTTAACGCCTGGCTACCCAGCCACAAGTGAGTCAATGTCCGTGTGGACAGCCGGTACTAGCAAACATTAAAGGAAGACTTATATCAAGTAACGTTTAAGCCATTTAGCTTCCTCTATTCACAAGTTCTCCTTGTTAGGTATCATATCAAACTATTTCCTTTAGTATTTTGTGTTTTCGATAAAAACTGAAACAATTTGTTGGATCTTGATTATATTTGCAGAAAAAGTTTAAACACTCCCGGTTTCGGTCATTCCGGGTCTAGAAATAGCCAATCCTGTGACACGGCTTTGGCTTACCCGAATTGCCCAAGCGGTTTTACACACAATTTCGTCGTGAAATAAAACAACAATAACAACAACAACAACAACAACAACAACTTCCACGTAACGCACATCGTAATATTATCCAACAGGGCACTATTCTCCCCNTAGTAGTTTGAGCCAAATGATTACCTTCAGAATAAGGCCTATATGGAAGATTTACTCGCTTAAACTCCATCCTAAATTCTTAGATATTGTCGATAGAAAGTTTGCAAAACTCTTTATATACAACTTTTTTGATGATATTGAATTGTTCGTTATACATTTATAAGCTGGAATATATAGAGAGTCCTTAGATGATATTCCACTACCCAAGATTCCTGTTCAGCCGATATCACGCAGAGACGCTGAGACATTACTAAGGTAAGGTATTGTTTTGCTCAAAATTAGAAACTTTAACGCTATAGCTTCTAACTGTGTGTAGGGTTTGCAAGCAATTGCCTTGCATTAAATTAGAAACTTTAACACTATAGCCTCTAACTTTGTGTAGGGTTTGCAAGCAATTGCCTTGCATTAAATTAGAAACTTTAACACCATAGCTTCTAACTGTGTGTACGGTTTGCAAGCAATTGCCTTGCATTGCTCAGAATGATGCTTTCAATCAGACGGGTCTCGTTTTGTCCTCGTGTAAATACTCACTTACAGTGGAACATATGGTCTGAAAATTAAGAAGATCCATCGGTCCTAGTTATCATAGACTGTAACGCAAGCCACAAAGGAGAGGGCGGAGGAGGATGCAAAGCATTAGGAAACAAAACAAATATCTACACGAGGTCACATCAAAAATAATTTCGAAGAACTTACTACATTGTTACACTGGTTTAATTTTTCATGGTGAAAAATGAGTTACTTATTTTAATAACCTATTCTGTTATTATAATCTCTTAAAAATAGAATGTTGAACCATACCCATGCGCCCCAAGACTGGCAGGGTAATCTGGGTTTTTCATATGGAATACAGATGGACCCAAGTGACCAAAGGTATGTTGACGTAAACTGACAAGTGAAAATATTGTTCTTTTTCTATATAATAAATCCTTTCATGACCAAGCTTCTTCGGTCGAGGCCTCGTTCTTTTTGTTGCGAGTTTATGTTCCTGGACTCCGTCTCGTTCATCAAACACGAAAAAAAAAAAAAACACA